TGCCTAAATATTTGTTGTATGGATTCTCCTGAAAATTTGTTTTATCTTCTAAAGTTGTTCTGTCATTCAGAGCAATATGGGTTTTTTACAATAGGCATTAGGTCCTTTAATTGCTCTGTGGAGGAATTTCCCCCATGGTGACAGGGAATGATTGAAGTAAATTTGACATGGGGGAGCTGAAAGAGGACCCTCAAGGTGTTACCTGATGGCAAATGGTTACCTTGCATGTTCCTTGTTAATCTGCATTCATTGGTCCAATGATGGCCTTTGCAAGCACCTTCTGTATATCCCAGAAGGCTGGGGACTTCTCTTTGGGTTGTCTCTCAAAAAGCAAAGCAAAACTAAACAAAACATAGTTTCTAGGACTGCCTTACCTACAATCCCTTTTTTGATGACCTTGCTTGCCACAATTAAAACATTTGACATTTTGATTTTTCTTTAAGCCTTTGGAAATAACCTTTCCAATCCAAGTATCATCATAGTTATTAGATTCAATATTGACTATGTTGGATCCATTCCTCTATGGATGCTGATCTTACCTTTAAAGGCCCAATTACCCTTTTGTAATGTGAATTAGCATTTTAAAAGTCAAAGATTCAATTAATATTCATTTAACTTTGGAATTGTTATTATTCTGTTTATTGTTTAATTCAATCTTTGCAAAAATTCAGTGAAGGCTTCTTTGGGGCCATGTATAACTTTAGTAAATGGCTCAGTTTTCTTTCCTGATCTTTGAATCTTGTCCCAAGCATTCAAAGTTGCTGTATAACATAGAGCCAAGATGTGATCATCAAATGTAATATGCCTCTCCACATCAGCACAATGGCTGTCACCAAGGATTTGATCTTGGGAAATCACATAACCTCTAACTCTACCTTGCTGTTTGATGACCCTAGCTTTATCTCTCTACCACATATTCCAATGTAACTGAGGAGCAGATTCCAATAGGGCTGTAATTAAATCTTTCCAGTCTTTTGGAATAATTTTTTTCTGAGTGGCCCATGAATTTAATATCTGCTCCACAAAGGATGAACACATACCATATGAAACTATCGCTCCCTTTATTCTCTTCAAAACTAACATTTCTGTAGGTTCTCAGTTAACTTCTGCATAACCTTGGGGATCCCAATCATCTGGTGATTATTCTTGAATGATAACAGGATAAGTTAAGGTTGGTTTTGTAATAACTTTGGGTTGTTCCTCTCTAATTTCATAACACAGTGCTGAGCTTGGTTATCCTCTAAATTCTCCTATCTGTGTCTGAATATTTTTATTATCTGTTTTAATAAATTTTCCAAGACTTGTAATTTATCACTCAAGATGGCATTACTTTCCTTAGTAATTATTTGTAGGGCTTGTATATTATCAGTAGTGACCTTTTCTAAGGCATGCATCTTTTGAATAGTAAGTTTTCTAAGGTTTGCACATTATCAGTCACCTTTTTGCTCTCTTTATAAGTAAATATTTATAAAGCTTTTACCTTACTGTTCAGGATTGTATAATTCTTTTAGTAATTATTTCCACAGCTTGCATATTATCTGTCAACTTCTCATCTTTGGCACAGTTATTAAACCATTTTTAAGGATAAAGCATGAATTACCAGACTGATAATCATTATGACTGACATTATATCAGTCCCAGCTAAGTTGTTTACTTCCTCATTTTTTTTTATTTTCATCCCATAAATAGGGTGCTAATTACCTGCATTGTTTTATTTCCAATCCTTAATATGGCTAAAGTTGTAAGACTGTCTCCCTCCCCTCCATTTTTTTTAGTTTAATAGCCTAGTTTACCATTTAAAAGTTCCCTAGTTTACCATTTAAAAGTTTACTAGTTCCATTCCTCAGAGAATTGGGTTGTGTAGATGCAGTGTTGATGTTTGAGTCGCAGATGAAGCTGATGGGTTGTACGAAGGTATTCAGATGTAGTGACTACGTTTGACCAGCAAGTGGAGCCAGCGAGGCACCAAGGTAGCTCAGGCTCAGCATGCTGAGCAAATGTTCAATGCAGTAGGACCAGAACCTGCTCCTGTGCCTGTGCTTGCAGAGGGGTGGGGGGGGGGGGGGGGGGGGGGGGAAGGCAGTGGCATGACAGGAGACGGCAGAAATGGGAGAAGACAGGGTATGCACCCTCCAATGGACTGCAAAGCAGCCATGAAGGAAGTCAGAGGTCTGGGCGTTATTCATCCTCCACCAGATCACAGTGCAGCCGTGTGGGAAGGATGTTCTCTAGCTATTGGCCACGCAGTGTGCCAGATGTTAAAGAATTCTTTTTGCCATTTATTAAAGTGCAAAAACCATGTATAAATATTCAAGAATAAATGGAGAATCGGAACAGAGTTGCAAGCCACTGCTTACAACCTCTGCTTCTTGCTTCTCCAAAAGGGATGCCCCTTTCTCGGTCATGTCCATTGTCAAAGAAAACACTGTCTCTTGAACCCAAACGCTCCTCTCAATTGGCTAGTGGTCCGGTGACAATTCTGTAACACAGGAGAAAATGATAGCAACAAAGAAAATATTTAATTAGGACCCAGGAATATAATACAGAGAAAAAATATAGAAGATAGAAACAGAAGTAAAGAAAAATACCGCCGGGCGTTGGTGGCGCACGCCTTTAATCCCAGCACTCAGGAGGCAGAGGCAGGCGGATCTCTGTGAGTTTGAGGCCAGCCTGGTCTCCAGAGCGAGTGCCAGGCCAGGCTCCAAAGCTACACAGAGAAACCCTGTCTCAAAAAATAGCAGCAACAACAAAAAAGTACCATAAGAAGGAAAATAGCAATACATATCATAAATATTATTTCAACATATTATTATATCATTAGTAACTTCAAACATAAAATATTTAAGTATTTTAATTAAGATGGGTTATAGGATAGATTATAAAAGACATGACTATAATTGATCCAAAAATAAATTTAACATAATGAAGAGTAAATCTAAATAATAAAGGAATGAAGGGAGGAAGAAAGAAAAGTAGATTTAAAGTAACATAAAATAAGAAATACACATGTGATGGTTGATCTTTTTAATCCAATAATTATTTCTTTGTTAATTTCATACATGGATACTTAGCCATTCCTCATTTTTCCCCAAATCCTTCCAGATCAACTCCACTCCTCTACCCCTCTCTCAATACCATGTCTTCTTTTTTTCATTTCTTTATTTTTTCTAGGTTAACAATTACTTTATTTTTTGAGATACTCACACTTTTACTTTGTTCTGCTATTTTTCCCTTTCATTGATTCTTTTCTCAAACAATATATTTGATTAGAATTTCCCCTCCCTCTACTCCTCCCAGCTCCTCTCCACCTCCCCTCCCATCCAGATCCACTCCATTTCTGTCTCTCATTAGAAAAGAACAGGATTCTAAAGGATAACAAAGCATAACAAAATAAAATATAAGACAAAAAAAGCTCATCACATTGGAGTTTGACAAGGCAAGCCAACAGAAGGAAGAGCCCAAGAGGAAACACAAGACCCAGAGACCTACTTGTTCACACACTCAGGAGTACCATAAAAATACCAAATTGAGAGCTATTATATGTAGTGTCCTTCATCCCTTCTGGATGTTGCTTTCTGTTTCCTTTCCCACATGATTCCCTGAGTTCAGAGTGGAGGGATTTGATGGAGACATACCATCAAATGTATGTGTGTTCCAAGGTCCTTTCTCTCGGAGTGACATCTCGGTACAGTTCACTGCTTTTGTTCCCTTCTGTTGAAGGAGGAAGTTTCTTGGATGGCTGAATAATGCAATGATCTATGAGTCTAGAAGGGTACATTAGAATTAATTTTATCACTACCTTTTGTTTTTTAAGCCTCTGTCTTTGGGCTATCTGGCCTTTGGTTTTTGGTCACCCAAGCTGTGTCAGGTATGAGTTCCATCTCATGGAGTTGGCTTTAAGTCAAACCAAACATTAGTTTGTTACTCCTACTATGCTCCTTTGCTTCCCTTCAGCAAAGAGCTGGCCTTCCAGTGATATCACCAGAATGTGGCCTACCAATATGCAATAAGATTAGGCATAAACCCCCATATCAAGGCTGGATGGGTCAATTCAATAGAAGGGAAAATTTTCCATGAGCAGGCAAATATGTCAGAGAGATCCCCACAGCATGTATGTAGAGGGCCTAGTATGGTCTCATGCACATGTTTTTGTTACTGCTTCTGTCTCTGTGAGACCCTATGAGCTCTGCTTAGTTGGTTCTGTGGACTATGTTCCCCCTGTGTCCTTGACCCCTCTGGCTCCTACAATCCTTCCTTACTGTTTTCTGCTAGGTTCCCTAGTTCTGCTTAAATTTTGGCTGTGGATCTCTGTATCTGCTCCCATCAGCGGCTGAGGAAGCATCTCTAATGATTGGGCTAGCCATAGTTCTAAGAGTGTAGCAGAATATTATTAGGAATCATTTTATTGAATTTTTTGTGTTTTAATAGTGTTTGTTTCTACACTAGGTCTCTGAGGCATCCAGCTTCCAGACTGTTGCCATCCAGGTAATATTAGGGATGGGCTCCCTCTTGTGGCCTGGGCCTAATGTTTGACCAGTCATTGGTTGGCCACTCCCACAAACTCGGAGCCACCATTGCCCTAGCACATCTTGCAGGCAGAATAGGGTGAGGGCCATAATTTTTGTGGCTGGGTTGGTGTCCCAGTCCCTCTACTGGAAGCCTTGCCTGGTTACATAAGATGGCCAGTTCAGGCTCCATATCCCCCAATACTAGGAATCTTAGCTAGGTTCACCCTTGTAGATTTCAGGAAGTTTCCATTACACTAAGTTTCTACCTCCCCCCCCCAAAAGGGCTGTTTCCAGTCCTCTCTCTCCCTCCATCCCCCTCATCTGACCCCTCCTGTTCCCATCCTCACCCACCCCCAGTCCACCTGTAAAAGTTATTTGATTTTCTCTTCCCATTGGTTACTCATTACAAGAAAGTTGGGGCTGGGCCAAGCATTTATTTGCTGTCCTGTGAAAAAAGAAGCAGTGTCTTCTTAGTTGGAGGACCGAGAAACCATGAATTCTAAACAGCAAACAGTGAGACTAAGTGACGGTCACTTCATCCCTGTACTGGGCTTTGGTACCTATGCAACTCCAGAGGTAATGGTGGCAGAAAGGGCTGGGGGTTCAACAATAATAGAAAGCTTGGCTTGGGTACATGGGGCTGATATAGTATTTGCAGTCATTGAGTTCTGCTGTGATTCTGTGGGGCTAACCTGCTTCTCTGTTTTACAAGGCTAAAGCTATTCTTTGTGCAAGGAGGACAAGGCAGACTGCACTCAGCATCAGTACTGATCCATGAGCTTAGCCTCAGATTATTGAGTACACTAGTTTTAACTTCAATTTCTCTCTATCCTAATTAGGTAGAAAGAATGAAATCAAGCCATCAAGCACACTGCTTGATGACCAATGGTATTGAGTACTGAGCATGTTTTTTTTTTAATTTTTATTTTATTTTAAATATTTGTTTATTTTACATGAAGATTGAGGTTTTCCCTCCTTCCTCCAATTCTCTTCCCTTCGCACCACCAACCCCCTGACTCCCCCCCCCCCCTACCCCCATTCACAGAAAAGGGCAGGACTACCATGGATATCAAAACATGGCAAGTTCAGTAAGTTTAAGTACCCCCTTGTATTGAGGCTGGGCAAGGTACCCAGGATGAGGAATAGGGTCCCAAAAGCCAGCCAAAGAGTTAGAGATAGCCTCTGTTTCCACTGTTAGGAGTCCCATAATAAGACCAAGCTACACAGCTGTCACATATATGCAGAGGACCTAGGTCAGTCCCATGCAGGTTCCCTGGGTGTCAGTGAGCTCCTATGACCCCATTACTTTGATTCTGTGGCTTTTCTTGTGATGTCCTTGACCCCTCTGCCTCCTACAATCATTCTTTCCCCTCTTCAGCAGGATTGTCTGAGCTGGGCCTAATGTTTGTCTGTGGGTCTCTGCATCTGTTTCTACCAGCTGCAGGATGAAGCCTCTCTGATGACAACTGAGCTTTTAAAAAGTGCTTGTTGGCAGCCTCCAGTTCCTATGTTGAGATGTGTGCTTATATATTTACTCATTTGAAAACCTCACTGTTCTTGTTCATGTGATGAATAGTTTTATGTCAACTTGACATGAACTAAGGCTATTTGAAAGAAGAGAATGTCAATTAAGAAATGCCCCCATAAGATTTGGCCGTAGGGAATTTTCTAAACTAGTGATTGATGTGAAAGGGTCCAGACTACTATGGGTGGTGCCATCATGGGATGGTTGTCCTGGGTTCCATAAGAAAGCAGGTTGAGCAAGCCAAAAGGAGAAAACCAGTAAGCAGCGATCCTCAGTTCCTGTGCACCAGCTCCTGCCTCCAGTTACCTGACTCAAGTTTCTGCCCTGACTTCCTTGAGCGATGAAGTGTGACCTGAGAGTTATAAGATGATATAAACCCTTTCCTCCATGAGTTGATTTTAGTCATAGTATTTTACAACAGGAATAGAAACTCTAACTAAAACAATGAACATTGTGGAAAATATCTACTTTTTCCTGAATTTCCTTAAATTTTACATAATGTTATAAAATTTCTTATGTGTTTACTACATCATCATTTCATTTTCATACTTTAATGCAATTCTATATTTTTAATTACATTTTAGCCATTAAGACAAAAAAATCCCGACAGAGTAGGGAGACTGAGAGAGAAGAGGAAAGGGGTAATGGCTGACTGCCATGGCCAGTAGCCCATAGAGGCAGAGAGAGAGCATAGGTGGGAGAAGAAAAGAGCAGAGAAGGAGTGAGCAGAGAGAGAGTGGCATAAAGAGAGCGAGCAGCAGGGAAGTTGGAACTTTTAAAGGGAAGACTGCGCATGCCCAAAGTTCTCACGCAGGGCAGGCCGTAATGCGTAGCGGGTGATGTAGTGACGACATAATACGATTTCCTTTTTATGCCCTGACTGTTATCAGGGGGCAGGGTCTGTCTCTTAAAGAGATAGAGCCTATCAGCATTAAAGCCTGAACCTTTCATTTCTACCTCTACTTATTATTTAAAAAGGTGGGGTATTAGACATGGCAGGTTAAGGAATAAGGGCATCGAATTCTCAAGACTGTTTCCTGCTGATGTGGGGGGCATTAACCATCTTTGGGGAACCTGAGAAGTTTGGGGTGCTGCCACGTCCTGGGGTGGCTGGTTGTTTCATTGTAGTTCAGGCTGTACAGAGCTCCCTGGTGCCTCTTTAGACCTGTTTGTTTAGATCCCATTCAGCTCCCTGGAACTTACAAGAATCCTTAGAGTTTGTGGAACAATAAGTATTAGACATGTTAGCAGCATATTCATGTTAGAAGCAACTTGGCTGAAAGCATTGCCATTTTAAAATTGATAGATTTTTTAGGACAATGAAAAGCATCTTAATCTTGACCTTGTAGCTATGATCCTATACTGGTATTGTAGAACTGACTATGAGCAGTAGCATGAGAAATAGAGAAATCAGGAACATACCTCATTCTTTTTAATGTCTCGACTCACGTTATCATCACTTAAGCCTTTTTATCCTCAGACCTTCATAACTTTACTTCATACATCTTACATTACCATCTTAGACCTTCCATTCTTAGACCTGCATAACTACATTCCCAGACCTTTATGCCTTGCATTCTCAGACCTTCATAACTTGCATTTATCCACTGTGTTAGACCTTTCCATCTTCAGACCTTACATTCTCAGACCTTCATACATCTTACACTTTCCTATCTTTATAGATAAACCCTAAAATACCTTATTTTTAATTAAATCACAGTTCCCATAAAATAAAAAAAATATAGCTTAAAGGAAAGCATGCACCTGAATAATTTTTCTGTATGTTCTTAGTTCCCAGGTATGGATCTGTCTGTACCGTTGAGAAAATATGTTGCCGATAGCTCCTTTTTAAAATTATTTTAGGAAATCTGTGCTTTATTAACATCATGGTTAAGCTAACACAGTCCCCTGTTCAGTGCTGCATCAAGTTTAAACTGTCTGAGAAGCCCCCACATTACATCGGAAATGGTGAAACACTCAGAAATTCATTTCTGGGATGTCATGTGACCCATCTTTGGTGGGCAGCATGGAATCTGTGAGTGATTTTCAACAGGCCTGGGATAGAAAGCTTCATACATTTCTGCCCAGCCAGTGTGGGCTGGCATCCTGGCAGGGCTTCACATTCTACTGTATGGGGCCATGCCAACCATTCCTTTCTCAGAAGGGATCCCAGCACAGTTCAGGCCTCCCACGTGATGTTTATCAAGCCTGAGAAACAAGTACAGCCTAGTGGTTTGAGTCAGAGAGGGCAGTAGCCAAGACAGCTCACATACCTCCTCCCTGACACCCAGAGTACCTCCAGGCCTTTGTGCAAATCATTTAAGAGACCTCCCAGGGGTGACGCACACCTTTAATCCCAGCACTTGGGAGGCATAGGCAAGCAGATCTATGAGTTCGAGACCAGCCTGGTCTACAGAGTGAGTTCCTGAGCATTAGGACTTCTGTGCATTCTTTCATCTGGGATGCACTAGGGGTTGTTTAACAAGCTACAAACAGCTTAGGAATGGAAACTCTAAAATGTTTCTACTTAAACACTTGTATTTTGTAAATTTAATGTTAGGGACTTTGATGTATGCTCTGTTACTGCCCTGGGAGAAGGTACACAGAAGATTCTATAATATTTCTTCTTTATGTGGTCTCATGCCATTTTTCCTGTATAATTTCATGGTTTCATATCCCTAGGCATCTTTCTATCACATATCCATTCCTGATGTGTCAGTGGGGACCCTAATGCCAATTACTTACCTGTAATTGACTGTACAAATTGACTGGTTCATGACCTACCATATACTCTTGTGATTCAGAGGAAGAGGTCCAGACAAACTTAGTTGGATTCTTTACTCAAAATGAACACTTCACTAAAGACATGGGAAACATTGATGCTGAAGAAGACGCTTCCTTTGTTCTTGTGTCTTAAAAAAATTATAAGTCATATATAACTCTAAATACTGTTTTTGGTTGCTCTTTTAGGAACCCAAGACTAAAGTTACAGAAGCCACCAAAATAGCTATAGATGCTGGTTTCCGCCATATTGACTCTGCTTCTATGTATCAAAATGAAGAGGAGATAGGGCTGGCCATCCGAAGCAAGATTGCAGAAGGCACTGTGAAGAGGGAACATATATTTTACACATCAAAGGTATTGTACAAATGAATGAACTGTGATGTGCTGAAATGATCTTTATGTGATTAAATGTTTAATGATTGTTGGTGAAACACACAAATTGGCCCTTATTGCACACAATGCTAGACATAAAGAAAGTTTTTAGCTTTATTTTTCTCATCATCTTTAAATTCATCAATGAAATGTTAACTCTTTTTTTCTGAGTCTCAGTTCACCAGAGCAATATTTAGAATGGATTGGAAAACTGTTACGGGATTCTTGCTTGGGTCTCGTTGCTGCTTCTGTCCCCAAATAACACATGGAGACTATTAGTTGCAATACTGTTGGCCAATGTCTAGGGCTTCTTATTGGCTAACTCTGTCTTAAGTATTAACACATAACTACTAATACATATATTTCTTTATTCCCCAATGCATTTGAGTGATGCTTTCATTTTTAATCTTTCTAAAATAATTTTTAATTTAAATTAGAAATAAGCTTGTTTTATACGTGAATCACCTCCTCCCCTGCCCCCACCAACCCTCTATCCCATCCCCTTTCTGCTCCCCAGGGAGGGTGAGGCCTTCCATGGGGGATCTCTAAAGTCTGTCATATCATTTGGAGCAGGGCCTAGACCCTCACCCATGTGTCTAGGATGAGAGAGCATCCCTCTATGTGGTGTGGGCTCCCAAAGTCCATTCATGTACTAGGGATAAGTACTGATCTATGTACCGGAGGCCCCATAGATTAACCAGACCTCCAAACTGACATTCTCAATCAGGAGGTCTGGAACAGTCCTTTGCTGGTTTCCCAGCAATCAGTCTGAGGTCCATGAGATCCCCCTTGTTCAGGTCAGTTGTTTCTGTGGGTTTCTCCAGCTTAGTCTTGACCCTGTTGCTCATCACTCCTCCCTTTCTGCAAATGGATCCCAGAGTTCAGCTCAGTGTTTAGCTGAGGGTCTCTGCTCTGCTTCCATTAGCTACTGCATGAAGGCTCTAGGATGGCATATAAGGTAGTCATCAATCTCATTATTGGGGAAGGGTATTTAAGGTAGCCTCTCAACCACTGCTTAGATTGTTAGTTGGGGTCAACCTTGTAGCTCTCTGGACATTTCCCTAGTGTCATATTTCTGTTTAAACCTACAACGGCTCCCACTATTATTGTATCTCTTTTCTTGCTTTCCTCTATTCTTCCCCTGACTCAATCTTCTTGCTCTCTCATGTCCTTCTCTCCCCTCTTCTTCTCCCATTCCCTTTCCCCTCCCCCATACTCCCAATTAGCCCAGGACATCATGTCCCTTTTCCCTTCTCCGTGGAATAATTGGATGTTCCAGTAGTTTCCATTCATATATATAAACAAAATATACATGAATTCTTTCATATTGAGTTGATTGACTAATCACATTAGACTTTTATTTTCTTCAGTAAAGATTTTGTTTCTATAAGAACAGAAACACCAGGAATAGTAATAGGCATATGAAAGTACACTCATAAGATATCAGCAGGTATAATTATTTATTGTTATGGACTGTATATAATTGTGTAGGCTATATGTTTTTGAAACTGGTACCATCACAACATAATTCTGAGTTATCTCCAGTGCTGTGTTATTATGATGGCTAAGAAGTCATTAGGCAATGGGAATAGTTCAGCTTGATTATAGCCTTATGGAGAACCATTGCATGTGTGGATCATTGCTGACAAATGCTTTGCTGTGTAGCACATGACTATGTGTTCTACATTTGTGTTTTGGTGTTTCTTTCCTAAGTAGTTGCCTATAACAACAAAACTGCACTTAACAGACTCACGTTTCCAAATGAAGTTGATATTTAGGGTTTTGTTGGGACTGAAGGGCATGATTTCAATGTGAGTGGTCAGGCCATGTAAAGATTGTTTTTCTTATTCTGACTCAATTAAAAAATGCTTAGAGATGATACTGTTCATTAGGCCCTATACTCAGAGTAAATTAAAATGAAGAGATTGGAAATACCTACGTCTCAGTATTAACCTACAATAACAGTTTGCAATCCTCCTAAATGCATGTTCCCCATCTAGTAAAAGTGCCCAATAACTTGTTTTATAGGTTATATTTTTGTCTTCACCCATATTTGATTTAAAAATATATTTGCTTATTGTCAGTGTATTAGTGTCTTAACTGCATGCGTGTATTGTACCATGAGTGACCCTGGTACCTGCAGAGACCATAAAGGGGCATCAGATCCCCTAGAACTAGAATTAAAGAACTTTGTGAACTGCCACATAGGTGCTGGGAACCAAATCGGGGCTATCTACAAGTGTTCTCTTTCTAATACATCTCTCTAACCCTCCATGGGTTATTTTGAGTTTATATACTTTTATTCAGACACACCAGCATTGCTTCCTGTTCCTGTGATGGTTAGTGAAGGTTAAAAGTGCATATGGCAGCAATTATTCCTTCACCAGCCATTTTGCAAAAAAAAAAAAAAAAAAGACCTGAGACCCCAACTAACAATTCAGAGTGAGCAAATGTAGACCACCAAATTTTGCTGCTGATATCACAATCTGTCATTTTGGAAGTATTAGAGAGGCACTAAACATGGTGTTTTAAAGAACAATTCCTTCATGGCTGCTTTTTATATAAAATAGATGTTCCCATTATGGTAATGGGAATCCTGAGACATCTCTAAAAACATTTATATAACATTAATGAGGGTATTTACATTGCAAACAATAGTTAAATGTGAGGTTAGAGTTACTTCATTATATGTTCACCTAACATGACACACTATAACTAATTATATGCAAGAAGTGACTTCTAAAGTAAATATAATTCAGTGAAATATAGTTTTGATGATAATCACTATAATTATTTGATGAAAGTTTTGGGACTTGAGTAATTTTCTAGATTAATTCACTATAAATAAACTTGTAAGAGAGGTCTATGACTAGATCAAATGAAAAAAATCAAGAGGAAGAGGAACAATTTCTCCTATGGTCATCAATGTCACATCAGTAGAAAATAAATGTCTCTATATTATGTAAAGAAACACAACAAACTCTTGAAATTTAATAATTCAATGTCAGTTTATTCTTCATCTTTCATAGCTTTGGTGTACTTTTCATCGTCCAGAGCTGGTGCAATTTTGCTTGGAACAGTCACTGAAGAAACTCCAGCTAGACTATGTGGACCTGTACCTCATTCATTTCCCAGTCTCTCTGAAGGTATCCACTTTGAATCACCAAAATATTTCATCTCTATTGTTAATGTTTTCTTTGTTGCCTGAATACTTCTATAAAGTATTAAAGCATGGTTCTGTAAATTTTAGAAAATACTCCAAATGTTTTATGCAAGAGTTTATAGGATTATGGAAATGAAGAGCCTATGCCATAAATAGATTTGGTATTTTAAGTAGTCTTAAAAAGAGTCTCTGCTTTTCAATTCCTAGTGTAAGTATTAAGATAAATTTGCTTAGGATTTTTTAAGTTATTTTGATTTTATTTTATGTTTGTGAGTGTTTTGCTTGAATGTATGTTTTGCACCATGTCTGAGTGTAGTACATAATGAGTCCAGAAGATGGCATTGAATCCCTTGGGATAGGAGTTATAAACAGTTGTTAGCTGCCATGTGGCTGCTGGAATTGAGCCTGTATTCTCTGGAAGAGCAGAAAGTGCTCATTGAGCAATCTCTCCAGTTCCAAATTCGTTGTTTTTATTCCAGCAATTTCCATTGGTGACAAATTTAGCTTTGAAGTAGTGTAAAGTTCTAGTTCATTGACAGGTGTTGGCTTCTCTGTATTTTGCACCATCAAAATAGTCTTTAAAATATACCAGTATACCAGTCTAGGGCAGAAAAGATAGTTCAGTGGTCAAGAGCAATTTCTTGTCTTGTAGAGGACCTGAGTTTAGTTTCCAGTTCCCACTTGAGTCAGCTCATAATTGTCTGTAACTTCAGCTGCAGGGGACCTGACACCCTCTTCTAGCCTTTATCAGTACCACACACACACACACACACACACACACACACACACACACACACACACCAAACAAACAAACACAAAAGGAAAACAACACAACACGATGCAAAAACCTTGTCTCCTCATCTTTCCTTCACTTGTCAGGCCTGAAGCACCCACAAGCAAGAAAATATTAGAGAAGATTTCTTGTTTACCATAGGTCAAAAAAGGAGTTTGTTGTTTGTGATCACTGCCATATTCTTGTTCAATTCCTAAGTGAAGGTAGCATTAAACAGAAACACAAGTCAAACAAGATAGTCTAAGTGCCCAGGAATTACTTCTTTATTTAAAAAATATGTTTTTGTTTTAAAGAACCATGGCACTCAAGGACATTCTTTACAACTCAACATTCAAAACACAAGACAAGTATTACATGAAATGTGATGCATCCATCTGCTGGAATTCCTATTCCTAGCCCTCTATCATCAAGTTTTGCTATTGTGAGAAAATTCATTTGTTGAGAGATTAATATTTCTCTCTATTCCAGCCAGGAGAGAATTATTTACCAAAAGATGAGAATGGAAAATTCATATTTGACATAGTGGACCTCTGTGCCACCTGGGAGGTGAGTAATTCGATTAGAGAACACAATGGGAAGTACAGAGTGGAAGAGTAGGAGCAAAACTCCATTTGTGAGAGTGAGGTGTGCATTCTGTGTTGTAAAAACTAATGGTCTTTATAAGGGCTTGTTTGCTAAAGATCATGCATGGCAGTGATATAATAGAAATGAAGGGAATGATATAATGATGACAATGACTCTAACTGACTAAGGATAACTCAGGGTACTCTTTTTTTTTCCCCCAAGAGATTATTTTTTATTAGTTCAAATTAGAAAAAAGGCTGATTCACATGGCAAACCCTCCTCTCTCTACCTCTCCTCTCCCCCAACTCTCCACTAGCCCCCCCCCATTCCCTTTCTGCTCTCCAGGGAGAGTAAGGCCCTTCATGGGGGTTCCCCAAAGTCAGTTGTATCATCCTGGGCAGGGCCTAGGAAGGACTCTAAGAGAACGGGAAAGGGCAGGATCTCCTGAGCTAATTGGGAGCATGAGGGTAGGGGAGAGGGAGCTTGGAGAATCAGGGTCCTCTTACTGGTTGATACTATCATTTTCCATTCTGTTTTATTTTTCCTAAGAAGTAATGCCAAGAAGTTTCATTTTCATTTCCTTACAGTGTGTTCCTATTATTATAGTTTTCTACTTAGTTTATAGTTTGACATATTTTTTTTTCTGTTTAGGCCATGGAGAAGTGTAAAGATGCAGGACTGACCAAATTCATTGGAGTGTCTAACTTTAACCGTAGGCAGTTGGAGATGATCCTGAACAAGCCAGGGCTCAAGCACAAGCCTGTGTGTAATCAGGTGGGAATCCTCAGCCCCCAATCTTTCCTGTTCATTTCTTTCTTCCTCTGCTACTACCAGATGCCAATTGGAGGGAAGAAGTAACCTAAGAAACTTAGAATGAAGCTTTGAGATAACCTTATTTTCTAGCATCTTTCAATTTGTTTGGTTTCTACCATCAAATCAAGCATGGAAGCACATTCATTGTACTATGCCTTGCCCCTGAAGTTATTTTCAGCAACATTAAGGGAAATGGCAACGTTTCTTTATTATAAATTATGACCTTAATCATACACATATTTGGTTTATGTTTCATGACCAATTTCCATGTCATATTTGAGAATCCATCAATGAGTTTTGTCTAAGTCAGACAGTTTTGTGGTTTGGAAATTATATTTCATTTTATGGAGATTATATTTTTTCTGTTTTATATTTATTTTTATTATTTTTAAAACAATATTATTTTATATATCAATCCCACTCCCTCCTCCTGCTCTCCCTGTCTTTCCCCATGCACTCCTAAGAGACATTAAGGATTCCCATGGGGAGTCAAGGAAGTCAGACACATCACTTTCATGCAGGAACAAGGCCCTCCCCACTAGGCTAAGCAAGGTATCCCTCCAAAGAGACTAGGCTCCAAAGAGCCAGTTCATGCACTAGGGATAATTACTGGTTCCACTGCCAACAGCCCAATAAAAAATACAAAGAGCTAATACCAATACTCCTCAAATTGTTCCACGCAATAGAAATGGAAGGGACATTACCATATTTCATTTTTAACTGCTCTGTTGACATTTATCTGAGGCATCATTTGAAAAATTCAGTCTAATAAAATTATTTCTAGAAGATAGAGTAAACTTTTATAATTTTCATCATCAGTGTTTTGAGAATAAAAGCTACAATAGTGATTGTTACTGACTAGGGACTATGACTTTACTCTTTATGTGTGTTTATCTCTCTATTTCTTCCCTTCCCTTTATTTCCCACAAACTCACCCATATACCCTTTGTTTCCTCTTTAAAATTCAGTTCATAACCTTTATTTTGATTAATTGTTGTTATATACAGATATGTACGTGTGCTTGCACATGCATATTTATAAATTCATGAATACAGCCTTTTGAGTCTGCATACTGGTACTTGTATATATGCCTTCAGGACTGATCATTTGGTACCAAATAAGCAATTGGTATTGCCTTCCCTGGGGAAGACTCTTACTCTCAGAATTCTGTAGTTGCCTGTAGCTCTTTTTGCATTTATTCTAATTTTCTGTATATATTTGTGTAGATTTTTCTTATTTTCCATTTTAATACTGAGATATACATAAATGACACTATTGACATGTCTACATCACTGTTTCTTTGCTTTTCCTAATGGATACTTATCAATTTTTGTTTTAATTTGTATTTAATAATCAAAATTCAGTGAGTCCATTCCCTGCTCCACATCTAGAATCAGTAATGACTCACTGTAGGAAGAACTAGTATTTGCATCCATCAAGAAGGATGCAGAGCTCACTCACCTCAGAAATGTTACTTCTTCAACTGTTCCATCCAATGTAAGTTCTAAGTTTAATAATGTAGATCTGGAGCAATTAATGGGAGGAATGGATGGGGAGAGGGGGAAGTGGAAGAAGGAAGAATATGCTCAAAATACGTTACATACTTTATGGAAATGTGTCTGAAGTGCCTCATTATGAACAATAAATACAAACCAATTAAATTTTCTAATCATGGGCCTAACAAGACGGCTAAATGTGTAAAGGGTCTTGTCTCCAAACCCTTTGATTCCTGGGACTCACGTGGTAGAAGGAAAGAAATGACCATACAAAAAAAAATCTTCTGACCGCCACATGTTCACAGTGACATGCACACAAACACCTACCACCCCCCAATACATAAATGACTGTAAACAATTCTTACTATGAAGATATTTACATTTTCTCTTCCCCCTTCCCTTCTTCCTTCTCTTCCTTCTTCACCTTTTGTTTTTTGTTTGTTTTGCTTGTTTTATAAGACATAGTCTCTATCTCTAGCCCAGGCTTGTCTGAAGCTTATTATAGAACAAGAATGGCCTGAAGTTCCTTGCAATCTTTCTGCCTCAGCCTCCTAAAATGTTAGACTATGGGTATGAATCGACACACCAGGCCTGATAGTGATATATTCAATTCAAATTTCATTACATGGGTTAAACTAAACCACCTTTTAAATATTTTTTAATATTTCTTCTTTGCATTAATATGGAATTTTATAAAAGTTAGTATGTTTCCATTTCATCCATCTATAGGTAGAATGTCATCCTTATCTCAACCAGAGAAAACTTCTGGATTTCTGCAAGTCAAAAGACATTGTTCTGGTTGCTTACAGTGCTCTGGGAAGCCACCGAGAAAAAACATGGTAATATGAACAATGAGAATTAAGCCAAAGGAAAATATTATTGATTAAATATTTTTCATCTTACAACACATTTTTTGAACTCATTATGAAATGAACTGGAAGCAGGGATGTTTTTCATTTTGGGGAGAACAAAAGACCATAATGGTTTTACAGCTCTATGCACTAAATTTGGGAACACTGTGGCCTACGTAACAACTTTCTTATGTATTAAAAGTCTAACAAATCAAAGAGTTAGGATAAGGAATTTAACATTCTGCCTTCCCTCCAGGGTAGACAGCAATTTGCCCATTCTTTTGGATGATCCAGTTCTTGGTTCCATGGCAAAAAAATACAAGCGAACACCAGCTCTGATTGCTCTTCGTTATCAACTGCAGCGTGGGGTTGTAGTCCTGGCCAAGAGTTTCACTGAGAAGAGGATAAAAGAGAATATGCAGGTGATGAGAGATGCTACAGGTGTTAGGCATCTACACAGAATGTCCTATGGACTTCATTGTTAGTCCTATAACTCTAGTCATTATCCCTTACATTCCCAGTACATCTTTACTTTAAAGGCATCACTGGGGGTTTTACATCATTCCTATTTACACTTAGAATTTTACATCAGAATTACATTGGTGATTTAACTTTAAGTGAGTGTCAGGCTCATTTTTTATTTTTCAAAGGAGGCATATGAGACTAGATGACTTTGATGCTTCAAATTATTTATAGTTTATGTTTTATTTTCCTATTCATACATATATTTTAATGTTCATGCTTTTAATCACTTGAATGTGTTTCATGTCAACTATTTTTTCACATCCTGGCACCTTTGATAGTGACTGTCTACTCATTTCAAGTAGGACATCATTTATACGATTAAGACTAGTAGTGTTAAAATCAATCCACACCTATTTGTGGGCTCTTTTTGAAAAGTCACTTATGTAGTTCATTATTTTATGTTTAGAGATTTGTGTGGGCTGACCTGATCCCAGTGAGGTTGCTCTAATCTTGGTCAGGCTTTCTCTTGTTCTGCAGTGAAAGATGCTCACCCATTTAAGTAGCAGCAAGGTATCTGCTCCAGGATACGTTTTGTACTGTCCTAAGTGGAGCTGATTTCTCCTCGCTATAGTGTTTATCCTCCTGCTCTTGTTATTGTACAATCACAAAGCAATTTATGAATTCTATAAGTTGTATTCATGTCTAATCTTATATCAGGGATACCATTCCTTCTCGTAAATACAAATGACGCCCTAAGACATGTGGCAACAATTTCTTCTACAGCCTAGTGTGAACAGCTCTAAATTCATTAAATATGAGGTAGACTTCCATTAAATATGGAAGATACATAGAAGAGGAGATATTCTTGTAGTCTATTTCATTTTTGTATTCTGTAAATTCATTGGTCTTACATTCTGATTTTTTTAAATACCTCATTCCCAAATCTACCTTTCGCCATTATTTAAATTACACAATATTATGAAAAGGAATTTCCTTTCTACATTATTTATACTATTGATGGCTTTCTTTTCTGTTTGGCTGGTGTTAAGCTTTCCTGTGTGAACCACACTGACATTCTTCTTCATTATCTTCGGAAATGTCATTTTTTGTCCTTTCCAGCTTATCCTTATGTTTCAACAGAAATACTCTCTCATCATTTCAAATGTTGAAAAATTTTAAATTTTAAAATTTAAAAATGGATAAAAAATTATGATAAGTAGACCCATTTCTATACTCATTCCTATCATTGGATAATGTGTTTACTTTTGTTAATGAACCTCTTTCAGATATTTTAACTCTCACTTTTATATAATTCTATATATATCCTGGTTATTCTTTATGGATTAATCTGTTATCCAATCAATTTGCCCATTTACACTCAGAGAGTTGTTTGAAAAATTTGATACTGTATTGAACTTATTATTTTAGAGACAATGACTTTTTGGCAGTACAAAAGTATTCAACCCATAATAACAATAGAAATTTACAATTATTCAAATAGTTTTTGGTATCAATTGCCAACTTCTATAAGTTTCAAACTAAGGAATTTGTATTTATTCCATTGTATTCTATTGTATTCTACTGAGTCATAGAAAACATAATTTTACAATAGCTTTCTTTTGTTGTTTTACTAAGTGCCAAATGTATTAAAAAGATAAAGAAACTTTAAAAGAAGTGCCTGTTACTTAATATGATTAGTTTTTAAGGTATCTTAACTGCTTGTTTGTTTGTTTGTTTGTTTGTTTTGTGTTACTATTTTGAGAACCTTTGGTTTACTCAGCCCATTTGTTTCCATTTGTTAGCAACAAGAGACCATTGAGTTGATTAAATTGACCACATTTAATATAAGACAATTTTCTTGATTCCACTTTTTCTTTCTTTTAAGATTAATTATTAATGTTTGTAAAAACTTTTACTTTAAATTACATTACAATGATATTTTAAAAATTCTGATTGCTCATGTTTGAAGCTTAGAATAAAATTGTGCGACTATTTACTTGAAATCAGCCACTATTTCTTGCTCTTCAGTGTTTCTGCCTTGTCTTCCACATAGATTCCTTAGCTTTAAGGGGAAGGGCTTGATGGAGACTCTCCCATAATTCTGAAAGCTCCAAAGTCTTTCACTTTCTGTGAATTGTCTAACTGGGCCTCCATGTCAATTTCCATCTATTATAAGAAGCTTCTCTGGTGAGGGTGAAGTGATGCTCTGATTTTGGGTGTAGAAATACATCATTAGGAGTCATTTTATTGTCACAGACAAGATACAATAAGATAATGGAGATTGGCAGAATGCCAATCCAAAGAAGTGGATGTAAAGTCCCACCCCTAAACAATTAGGAGTTTTTCTCAACTGAAACCTTCTGGGAAAGAGGGAATCAGTTTTCTCCAAGTTGTTTCACTGAATATACCAACTACATTCCAGGGCAGGTCCCATAACCAGGAATAGTTGACCAACATAAAATGAATTCTACGTTTTCTTTTTTCTGGGCTTTTGTTTAATAATTTTTGTATTATCTATTTTTTAGTTTACTTTGATGCTTTTATTTCTTGTGTGTGTGTGTGTGTGTGTGTGTGTGTGTGTGTGTGCATGTGTGTGTATTTGAGAAAGAGAGATGGAATTGGGTAGGTAGGAAAGTGGGAAGGCTATGGAAGAGTTGGGGGAGGGCAAACATGATAAAATATTATAAAAATTTATATTAAAATAACAAAAAACTGTATCAATGACAATTATGTAGAAACATATTAAACATTTAAACTAATTTGTTTTGGACCTTCTAAGAATATGATTAAGATCATGATTGAAATCATAGTGTGTTTGTTTATTCTTCAGATTATCTATTAATACCTTTCTGTGTGAGGCTGTACATTTCAATTCACGAATTCATTTCCAGAATGAATTCCACACTTAATTCCACACTTAAATGTTTTGATGAACCTGTGTTTAGTTTTTTGATTTCTTGAATATATTAAATATTTTATTTGAACCATTCAGTCTGGTGCATTTAGAATAGGCAGATTTGCAAGCATGCAATGTAAATATAATAATATAGTTCCTATTTGTTTGATAGGTTTTTGAATTTCAGTTGACTTCAGAGGACATGAAAGTCCTTGATGGACTGAATAAAAACATACGATACATATCCGGTGATGGGTAAGTAATTTCAGTAAACAAATTTTACTCAACTTTTTTTTCTGAGGTGAATACAACATATTTGTTATCATTTGCCTTAAGTTAAACAAAAAATACAGAGGCCATGTTATACATGGTCAGGAAATAGTCAAAAGCTTAACAACTTTTTCTAGCCTCCTGTGGTTTCTGTTCATTGAGACAGAAGCCAGAGTTAACACTGGCTCAGACTGACCTAGTGCAATTATTGCTCTCCTCCTAATTCAGGGAAAGCTTCTGTGTCATCATTGTTGGGTGTGTGTAGTTCATGTGTGCTTCTGAATTAATCTGTTCTGTCATTTAAACTTGAGCCAATTAAACAAGCCTCTTGAAGCATTTTTAATTCAACACCATGCCATTTTCACCATCACCTGCCTAATATCTAATTATATTAAATGCATGACCACAAATCCTGTGTTCTATATTTCCTCCAGGTAAAACTGTCATTGAATTCAGGCAATTTAATCTTTTTAATGGTTTGAAAAATTTCACTTCTTTTTTGTTGCACTTTTTTTCAGGTCCTAATAACTGTGTTTGTGTTGATAATGACTGACTTAATGGATTCTGTAGCACACGTGGTACTAGTTTTCTAGAATATTGGGGTCCCTGTGTTGAAGATTAAGAAGTTATAGAGAATAAAATTATAACCAATACTATAGCATGTAGAAAGCAATTCCACCTGATGGAGAACTTTTAGTCAACAAGAAACCTTATTCTTCCTTCATGCTACATATACCTTATATACTGAGGTAGAAAGGACATGCATATATATCTGTATCTATATACCTGTCTACCAGAAAGTAGGAAAAGATATACTTATTACATCAATGAGGGAAGAAATACAATATGTATTTCTCCTAGTACTGGGAAATTACTTCTGAAATGAAATAAAAAGGAATGATGAGAATTGATGAACATAGTGTATAATAGCATATATCAAAATTTCTAGTATATTTTAATCCTTATTAGTACTTTTATTATTATGAATAAAAGCAAGCAAATATGACAAACATGACAAGCACCAAACAATTACTTATATTATTCATGTGAAAAATTAATAAGTAATTATTTTTATCCCTTTATAGCTTGTGTGACTAGTACTATCTGATGATCTTCTACAATTATCTTCTTGGATACAGTGTTATATCATATACACAATAGACTTCAGCTTACCTTTTGTGTGTTGCTTTGTATGATATGTGCCTATATGTGTCTGTTTGTATAAGTGGATGAGTGTACATGAGTTTACTATTGCATGCATCTGGTGGTTAGTGGACAACCTTAGCTGTGGTCCTTGCCTTCCACCTTGTTGGAGAAAGAGTACCTTGTTTCTACTGTATATGCCAGGTTCCTTCTGGGTTTGCAGGAATTTTCCTTTCTCTACTTCCTGTCTTACCATGGAGAGCTACTACAGATGCATGCTACCATTTCCAGTTTTATGAGAGTGCTGTGATCAAAACTCATGCCACACATTTGCACGAAAGCATTTTCTCTACTCATCCATGTTATCATCTCATTCTTTCTACTTCTGAATCAAGACTAGTATAGTGCATGTAGTAGGCAGCTAGAAAATAATTTATCAATTACAAAAATTGAAGTGAAATTGATACCATCCATTTATATTTCCCTGAAGTATTTCTTACCATGGAGTGTGTAGCTTTGCTTGCTCTTTTTAAAACAAAATAATCAGTTTCTGTTTTCATTGAGAATTTGTAATTAAAAGAACCAATTAACTTTTTTGATAGATGTATATTTGACCACTTTACTCTCATTTTCTATGTAAGCCTTAGGGAAAGGAGGATGATATTTATTTAGGTTTTGTTTGACCATTTATAAAATGATGCTTAAGTAGACTGTATGAATTACCAGAAAATAAACTTTTGTAGTTTTGTATAACTCTGTAATAGTCACTCAAAACCAATATAATTTATTTGTCTTTCTAGGTTTAAGGGCCACCCTGGTTTTCCATTTTCAGATGAATATTAACATATGGGTCTGTGTCATGCCTTGTGCTAGAAGTCCCTGCATGCGGATAGTATAAAGGAAGGCTGCTCAAATGATGATGATTGCATAGTTCAACCTAATCTGTGCTTTGGAGCAACCCTGGTTCTGCTGAATCTACAGTTATAGGCAAGGAAGCAAACATAATATATATTTGTCCCTTCCTGAATAGAAATAAAAGATTAACTTTCTTTAGCATTTATCTATGCCCACTTGTATTGTTCTCATATCATAACTTCTCCTGACTCATTTGGATCCCAAAAGGATTTTCTTAGAAATGTGTGTGCAGGGGTTATAATGCTAGAAGACATTTTACAAACACATCTAATATGATGGTAGTCAGAATTAATATCATCTGGAATGTAGCAGTTGTCAAGTGCTTATTAATGAGTTATTCTCTAGTATTTTAAGGAATAAGAAAGAATATCATGTATAGTGTAGAAAGTGAACCACACATAGAAAAGGTGAGCTTGATTCTGAAGTTTCTCCCAGAACCTAGACACTAAAGTATCCTTGTGGGGGGGTTGACAGAGGTGAGGGGAATCATGAAGAGTCCAATGAATGGGTTGTAGGAGAGACAAACTGAGTGAGCCCTTGCTTGGAAAACATGAATCAATAACTAAGGCAAGTATGATTTGCATGCAGTGTACTCTTGATCTGGTGATATGCATCAAATCTGGAGACCAGGGTATCCCCAGAAAAGCAAAGTACTTGCTCATGTGTAGGGATTATAATGTCTTTTTAAAAAGCTTTGACCTTATCTTTGCATTGATTACCAATTTTCAAGATTTTTTTCATTTGGGTCAAATCAGCTTACATGAGCAAAGGGAAGCTTCTAAATGTTAGAGGATAACTGAAGCAATACAATCATAAGGAAAATACATAACAATCCAGGAGGTGTGTGAGTTGTTCACAAAATATGACTAAACATGAATACTATTCAAAAGTTAGACCTCCAGTGTTAAGTCCAACAAGTTAAGACCTGGTAAGTTGCCATTTATTGCTCACACTGAAGAAGAAGTTGACAAACTAATGCTATCCTTCCTAGGCCTATCAGAAAGCCAAGGCCACAGGTCAAATTCCTTACCTGAAAATCAAGGAGATGAGAAAAATTATCATCATGGCATACATATAAAGTATGAAGTTGTCTTCGTGTCCTTAATAAGAAAATTAATACAATAACCAATGACTTTAGTGTTTTTATAGATTAATGTACCTCAAAGAAGATGATGTAACCCATGATCTCTCTTGCTTTCAATGGCCAAACAATTCTTCCTCCTGTCTTCTGGACCTAGCTCTTGAGTTTTATGATACTAAGAAGATTTAAGGCCAAAGTCAATGGGAGCAAGTGCACTAATTGCTCATAGGACTGAAGGGTACTTCTTCTGCCTCCTGCATTAACACAACAGCAGTAGGGTACAATAAGACCACACAGGACTGAGGCTGAAGGAGATGACTCTAGCAGTATTGATGAATAAATAGTCTCTAGGATAAACCAATGACAGTGAGGAGACATACTTGAACCAAACTTGGGAAAATTTTCTCTCTGACGTCTGTAGATGCAGTAAATAGAAAGCACAAACTAATTCTCAACCAGATTCCCACAACATATCACATTCATGACCAATTTACTTTCATTATTTTCGTACCTACTACCTCATGCATTACTTCTATACTTAGCAAATAGGCTCACAAAGTGCCCAAAATAGTCTTAATGGTTAAAACAAACATACCACAGGGATATTGTGTTGGGAGTATATGACTGAAATTAAGTGGATACTGACTCTAGAGGAAAAATCGTATCATGGGTTCAAAATCAGGAGAACAATGTAACTGTAGAAATGAGAATCTTAGTAAGGTCAAAGAGACTTAATGAACAGTCACAGATATTAAGACTATTGGGCAGGATGCTATAGCTTTCGTCTGGGGGAAAATAAACAAATGCTCATTCACCACATAGAACGCATTAATACATTCTTCTAAGTCCAGGTTGGTCAGTGCGTTTATTAGATGACCTTATGGGGCATGAGTAAGAGCTTAGTTTCAGCATTTCAGGGGGCCCCAGGCAGCTGCATTACAGGATAATCCCCCTGTGTGGCCAGCACAGGTTATGGTCTTCCAAAAGCAGCATAGATGGAATCCCCAATTCAGTTAACCTTCTGTTTCTAATAGAGCAACTCCAAAGGCCAAGCAATGCTGGGATAGAATTACATGAATCATGGTGGGAAAGGATACAGGAAGGAGGAAGTAGCTGGAATCTTCAATGACCCTTCCTTACTTCTTCAACAAGGGCAAGTTAATCAGCCTGGGTTGTAAGGGTCTCTGATGACTAAACACAGTACTCTGATTTCAAGATACTTCAGCAATAACCCTGACACACACAGCATTCTAAGGACCTTCAATAAATCAATGGGGGGAATCCTGAAACTATGTACAAAGAAAAATGAAAGCATGCTGCAAATCTAGAACATTGCAAACTATAGGACAATTTCAAGAGCTGTGTCATTGCTGTAATTGGATAACAAAAGAAGAAAAAGCAAACATTCCTGGAACTTTTGAAGCAGTTGAAACAATTTCTGAAATATTGAGAAAAATGTCAAATTTGGGAAACTTGACAAATGCAAAGGGAGACACATAGCAAAACAACAACACAAAAAAACCTTTTAAAGCACATTGTATACTTGATAGCGCTATCTTCAATCTTCCTACATTTGAATATTTAAATGTCAAGGGGACACCAAACTAGATGGTGGAGCCTGCCATATTGATGAAGTTCAGTTGGAGTAAGATGAAGAAGAGATAGGACTGGCCATCTGAAGGAAGATTGAAGATGGCACTATCAAGAAAGGATATTACATGATGTGTTGAGGAGAAAGATGATGGCTTTCTTATCCATATATTTAAAAAATATTCAATGCACAGTTACTGTTTTCTGAGTCTAATTTCACATGGACTATGGAAGATATCAACTTCTTTTATGTCCTGGATTGTTTTACAAAACCTTTCTTTGCTCTTTATGTCACATGTCACCATTATCAAGGGGAAGTATGTGAGAGAGAACATTGTAAACAAATACTTTTGGTGTTAAATAAAACAGAATTAACTTGCCTTCTATGGTGTACAGAAGATAATATAATGCCCCAAACATCCATTCAGTTATATTGGAAAGGGACACTAATTCTCTTTCATCAAATTGATTGAATATGTTAAACCTTTCAGATACTTTATCAGTAAATTGAACTATTACTCAGATAATGGACATTATCATTACTTGAAAAATTGTGTCTCCTGAGTAATATCTTTGATCATTCACAACATTTACTTGCAACAACCAAATGTATAAGAGAGTTGACTTATGTGGAGTAAGTGAAAGAAATTTTGTGATGAAGGGGATATTTTTATGTGGATATAACTCTTTAATCAATTCACAGATACCTAAATATTAGTGAAAATAAGACAGCATTTCATTACTTATTAATGAACCACAGATCATGTTCCAGAACCTCTATAAGCTTTGGTCTGCCTTCTATCACAAGGACCTGGTAGACTTTTGTTTAGAATTGTCAATGACGAGACTTCAATTACCCCAAGTGGATCTCTATATCTTTTATTTCCCAATATGTCAATATTGCTGAAAGAAGGCCAGTTGAATCAAGTGTATTTCACCTCTTCCATCAACATAGACATCCACATTCCTGGTTGTTTGACTTAAGCTTCTACAATTTTATACAAACACAAGTTGTGTATGTTGTAGAATGATATCTCCTTTGTACAAAGGAATAGACTGCAGTTGATGAGTGAAAAATTGAATCCATGACTAGTTTTGACATAATAAATAATTTTGATTCATTGTAAGCAGTCTCTACAACTTTTTATCTTTAGAAATGTTCCTGCTCATTTGATCCTTCTGTATTTATTCAAGTTTTTTGAGGACAAACATGAAGAAAGATGTGTGTGAGCCATATACTTACCCAGGTGATAAAGAGAGAAGGACACAAAAACTTCAGGGAAATTTGAATATGGAGTCATCATTGATAACAGAATAGCATGATTGGTAACTTCCTTACCTGCAGTGAAAATTAACAGAGCAGGACTGACAATCACATACACAGTTCTGACAGATTGTAGGGATCGAACCATTTGTGGTAGTGGTGGTATGTAACTGGACTGGGAAACCAGAGGGCCCACCCAAGACTTTAAATGTAATTTGTAAGACAGTAGATTTCATTAAAAAGGAAAGTTTTCCTATTTCACAGGGAAATACAAGTTTTTACTCTCACAATCAATAATCAATAACATTTAATTTCAGAGGACTGGAAAGCATGAGCAGGAGATTTTAAAAGTTCATCTTTTAAATGGTTTTCCATTTCAGAAAGAATCATGATTCATACTTTATAATGACTCTTTTATAATGCACATTGATGGTACACACACCCACCCCCCTACCCCCCACTCCCCCACACATGATACTCATTGTATAAGGGAGCAAGCCAGTAAGCTTTTCTCTGTGTTTCTTTCTTGCTACTCCTCGAGTTCCTGTGTGAGCACTCTCAGTAATGAACTGTGAATGTTATGTGTCTGTCAAATAAATCCCTTCTTCTCTCAAGCTTCTGGTTGGTTCCTCTCTTATGACCATCACAGAAACCAATGTAGGATACTTACCATTATGAGAAGTATTATAACCAATGTAAGGCATAATGAGTGCTAAGTGTCTGGTTGTATGTTGCAGAGTGATATGAGAGCTATTACCCATCATTTTCACATGGAAGCCTGTGGCAATGGCTTTCTCATGCATTCTGGTCAGGATGGCATACCTGTGAGCATGATAGAAAAAAAAAAAAAAAAAAAAAAAAAAAAAAAAAAAAAAAAAAGAACTTGGAATGGTTCTTCTCAATTGGAAAATGAAAAACTGTCATTTTCCTTCAAATTTAATTTTTATTCCTTTGTTGACTCAATAACTGAACAACAACAAAAAATCCAATCCATAGCCATTGTGTTTCTTTTGGATATGTTTTCTATAGGAACTAGCTTCACTGTAACAAGTAGATAATGAAATAAGAATCTTGAATTTTAGTTTAGTCTGAAACAATAATTTCCCAGTCAATTTCTCCTATTAATTCAAAATTCTCTATAGAAGAGGGACAGATGATTAACTCCAAGTGTCAACATGTGGAACTGAATGATAGGCACTTCATTTCTGTG